GTGAGACGTGGAGACTGGTACTTCGGATGAGACCATATAAACCGAGGCCCCGTGTAGCAGAAGGTGCTGGCACGAAAATGATCCCTCACTGCTCAAAGGCCCTGAGTGCCGAGCATAGGACAAAATCTGTAGCCATCCACCGGCAAGTGGTGGCGTCTCCGTTTGAGTAAAAAAAATTTGAGAGGGATGTTGAAGAAGATTCAATCAATCAATCCTAATACCCTTTTCATATACATGGATTGGAATATGGAGATAGCGAACAGAATCAAAGCTCTACATCAAATTAAACACCTGTCATGGATAAGTCAGCATCATTGCCCGTGGAGAGCTGAAACTTTATCTAATGCTCAGCACGCAAGTTCATTTTAAAGTGATGAGTCTTTTTCGTGCCAGCACCAACTGCGACACGGGACCTCGGCTTTTACGCTCTCGTCCGAAGGACAGATTTCCACGTCCCACAGGTTTGAAAACGAATTGTTTCTGTCCTGAATTTGTATTCCGGTATTTCCCATTAATGTGTTTCTTTATTTCTAAATACTGTGTTAACACGCCGTTTGAGGCTACGTATGTCGGTTCAGTGTTTTTCTGCTTCACATTTGTTGCAGATGTATTCCGGAATTCGGAGAATCGGCCATGATGAGTCTAAACTTATGTTGAACTTCTTTTGTCCATTAACGTGTACCTGATTTATTCGACTTCATTTCTCTAACTCTCTTATTTTATTCAATTCTTAGCATCAGTTGGATAATTTAATCTGTGCATTAACTTTGTAGTATAGTTGTGTATAGAATATTGCAATGGTAGTGAATAAAATATTTATTTGTTACCTAATGTCTAACGAAATACGCGTGGACGGGTTAACTACTAGTCTAAGTTGACGAGGGGAGTCATAAATTTTATTTATAGTCGGCTCATATTGTAAACACAACAGACAAAAAACATGTGGTGGATTCTCTTGAACCGACTTTAACTAAATTTACACCGAGTGTGAAACACGCGGTTTGGGGAGAACAAAGAAGGTTGTGTAGATAAGCAGACGTAGTTAGGGTTTTGCAGAGTAGTTAGGTTGAATGTATGGATGTACCTCGGTACTTGAGTTAATGACATTGGGGGTGGGGGGTTTAAACTCATATTTCTTAGCATCTTAGTATTATTAGACAATAGGGTTGTTTGACTGTTTTGTCCTGTTTATTAATTTTTACAGAGAAAGGTAATTCCTGTGAGTGTTCATGTAGTTCATTGTGCTTATGGGATAATGAAAGAGCCTGAGCTTCAGTGTGATTTGTGTATATGTCCATGTACACATATTTTGTAAGCCTCACTATTTTCTCCTGCCAGTTACTTTAAAGCAGGAACTGTTATGGTTTTCTCCCAGAATTTCCACAGGATCTTGGTTTGGAATTGACATTTAGCGATGTCTGCTTTTGTGGAGGCTAATCCTTAGAGGACCATGTATGGTTGGAATGATTTTTGAAACGACTTTACAAGATCATGGAGTGTTTGTCAATGATAGCTTTTATGGAGTGTCCATCTTTTGGTGGAATCAAATTATCAATGTAAACTTTCACAAGGACTGCTACAAAATATATATAAATCAATTAAATATTTTCTAAAAACAAAACTATTTGACTTATTGGAAGTGTTTGACAATAAAAATCATCAGAAACATAAACTTATATTTTCAAAGCCAAATCATTGGGGGACAACAAAAATATGAGAAGTCATATTCTTCAAAAGCAGATGTCCAGTATCTTGCAGGTCAAGTCCAAAGGCTATTTCTACCTACGTAGGCATTATAGCTACTGTCTTTTATTAATTTTCAATCTGAAGTTAAATTTATTTGTCATGTTATCATTTTCAACTCCAGAGTGAAAATTAATAAAAGACACTACCTAGGTAGTTAAAGCTACCTAAAGAAGCTATATTTACCTACTTTCTGCTTTACTTGCATTTTGTGGCCAAATGCAGGAACGGCGCAACATGATGAACACAATACCTCTTGATACAGTCACACTGATGATGAATATGACAAAATTTGGGCCAAAAAATAAAAACTTCGTTTATTATCAATTTTGCATAGAAACTAATATAAAATTGCCGATTCAGAAAGTAATCATTTTGGCCAAATATTTTTCGTATTAATGTGACCGTATCAAAAAATATGGTATTCACCATGTTGCGCCGTTTAGTCTTTTGATCGCAATACAATTATTCCTCCACCCTATTCTCCTAATGTATCTCTTCTTAAGTTAAACCCATCGATATCTAATTCTCAATTGTCTGCCTGTTCATTTAAAAAAAGTTTCCCACTAGCACGACTTTGACTAAAAGGAGGCATTTTAAATAGAAAAAAAAAACTATCGCGCACTTTATTCTTCCGGAATTTCATATGCAAACTAAGCGTATTCATTGTATTCGTGCTCCGTTTCAGGGCTCGAATCCATGCTGGAGTCAGGTTTGGTGGATACCCTATCATGAATTAAATCCCTTTTGGGATAAAGCCCTGAAAGATTCACTCGGCATAAAAAGTTGGCTTTTTGGAATTTCATTATCAAAATAGACAGAGGCTTGAAATGGTCAGGGGCAGCCAAAAGAACTTTAATATGATTTTTAAAAACTTTTTTTGAATTTTTAAGACGTTGACATTTTATGTTAAAATATCCGTTTCAATAGGACCTGAATAATTTTACCAACTTTAAATACTTAAATAAGTGGTATGAAATTGATAGCTTTCATGTGAAAACAGCGAACGAAAGTAAAATAAAAATCATAAATTTTCATATAAATCATAAATATCAATGCAAGATCAATTAAGAACACCAGCGAAACATCAGTAAAAAAAATTGTGGGATATTTAACATCATTATAGTTATAACGCACAGTAAATCCATTCCTTTTTATTAGTTGAAGTATTTTTACCTCTTCTAAAGGACTTTCTCTGAATTAATATACTGACAACGGCGCTCTCTCTCTCTCTCTCTCTTGATGAACCATGTAATACTTGTTTTGTGAAGATTTTCTGTGGTTCATTTGTGCCGCAACACCCTCCCTGGCCCCAGAAAACATTGCTCTCACCTACAAATTGAATCAAATGCATTTCCTTCGATGAACCAGCTTCGAACTGTTCAATTTAATACAATTACAAGTTTATCTTTTAAAAAGATAGGTGAGCTACAATCTAATTAAAATTAGATGTTAGATCCGCTCGCATACTCACTACACTAACATCTAACAACATCCCATAGAAGGTCACGTCAGAGGTCAATATCTATCACCCAATCAAATTGTCGCTGGCAAAATCATCGGATATTTGTTGATGTAATCGAAGTGAATAAATCTAGAGTTGTTCCGACTTTGACCTCTGACGTGACCTTCTATGGGACGTTGTTAGATGTTAGAGTAGTGAGTATGCGAGCGGTTCTTACACCTAATTTTAATTAGATTGGGTGAGCTAGCGCCGTAGCAATTTTTAAACATAAAAAGGAAGATCTGTGACCAAGTGATTTATTTTGCTGAATTCTTTAATTTTATCGAGGCTGGAGAGTGATAAAGTTATTATTGTTTTGTAAAGTGTATTTTATAGACACATAGTTAAAGAAACGAGGGGGGATTTTTGTGTTGACCTATTGGAGTTTTGGCGCCTTTACTGGAGGGGGGAGGGGGGGGCTCTCTATAATATGAAGAGGAGGTGCTTCAGGATACCGATTGAGACATTACATGTATGAGCTGATTTAAAGAAGAGAATTTCTTTGTAATTTAGCAAAGAAAATACATGGGAGTTGTAAGGAATATAGAAAATAACTCAAAGTGTATGTTGTGTAAAGAGTCCAGAGAGTTTGGAAATAGAGTTGTGAAATAGCTTGATCCTGTGGTTCATCTTTGTCAACAAATGTGTTAGAGTAAAAGCCCTACACATCAGAATTTGTTTTGACATAAATAGTGGATTTATTCGTTGTTTTAGTTTAAATTCTTGCTTCTGTTTCTAAAATTTGTAAGATTGGCTGAATTGACCAATCAGAAATTAGAATCTATCTTTGGTTGTGCTTAGATGTAAAAAAAAAAAACAGAAACAAAACAAAACACTCTCTGTCATTGTTTAGAACAATTACGGGCTTTTCCGTCAGCAAAAAAAAAAAAAAAAACAGAATTTGAAATATTATAAATATGAAGTTATCTTTAAAGCGTAAGCTACACAATAAATAACGTGATTCAACGAAATTGTTATCGTACGGTCTATCTGCAGTAGATCTCACAGTTTTCCCAGAATGCACCATCATGGCGGCCGAGCATGCGTATTCAAGGAATTTGGACTAACGTAGTTGCTAGCGCTCGAGAGCGCTAGCAAAAAGAAATTACACAATGCTGGTATTTTGTCAATGCTTCTGATTATCACTTCCGTATACTTTGATATAATTTGTCCTCCTGCATGTTTCATGATAATCTCGGAACTTTGAACCGAATCTTCAAAGTCATGGAGTTATCCTCTTCTCTCCCACATGACAACCATTCTCATCGTTTCATCTTGCATACTCTTTCCTGTAAAATGTATCATGTGTAAACAGTAAATTAATTTAAAAAAATTAATTTTCTAGTAAATCATAAAAATTAATTTGAAAATCAATTATAACAAAAAGTTTGCTAAGACCGGGCTTCTCTGCTCTGTTTTCAAAACAAACTTCTCTCTTCTCTAAAATCCATAAAATAATCATGATTTAGCACTTTTGAAAAACCCAGCGAGGGTATTTTGTCCCGTTTGAACAGTTCTTCTTAAATGCAGATATAAAAATCCAGAAAAAAAATGTATTTACCCATGTAAGACCTTATTGTTCCTGGCGCCTTTGCATTTTTGGCCCCGACAACCACCTGTCCCTAATCAGGGCTTGATCTAAGAGACTGTTCAGGGCAAGTGTTGGATCGATCGATCGTTCTATGTATTTCCAACACTTGCCTGGCATGCTGGAAAGCCTGTTTGTCCTGTCGGTTTTAATAGACTTCTGTCATTAGACAACGTTGTGAAGAATAAGACGTTTTGTGTCAGGAATTTGGCAGGAGAGAACATCACTCTCCACAGCCTCCTCGTCCTCTTCCATGGTGAGTTCCTCACTATTTGAAAGTATATGTAGAGCAATTAGTTAACGTGATCCTGATGTTCAATTAGGATCTCTGATCATCAAAGGTTTTTCTTTATTTAGTTCCTCTAAAACACAAGTAACTATTTAAAAAAAAAAAAAAAAGAATGATTGTAAAGCATCTTTGGTGAAAGGGATTTAACATTGCTCAACAGTTTATAAAGGTAAACATATAAGACACTCAAAAATCACCTCTTTTCCAAGACTTGTGTATTAGGAACTGTTTCCCTCCTCTCTCAAATATGTGCACGTTAATGAGGTGTTTGTCCAACCAAGGAATCATACTTGGGAACAGGAAAACGTTTCAATCGACATTTAAAAGATTAGTTTACAATTAGTTACACCTATATTATGCCCGTCTTGTTATATCTCCTCTTGTTTTTATCAACTTAAATCTTACATTGGTGGCTGTTGCTTTCCTTTGCATGGTCGTAGACACCTGCCCACTCCAAACGCTCTGTCTGTCTTCTTTTTAAGCATAAGTAATATATTCATAATACCATGGTTCTGGAAGGTCGTGTCTGCCTCTATTATTCTCCGGAAGACCCTGTCTGAATTAATTCCATGCTTGATGATTATAGCCGTCCAGACTGCCTAAATCTGTGTGATGGAACATTGTTGATCTTATAGAAGGCCCTCTTAAAGAAATTCTTTCGGAAACTCAGAGATTGTTTCTTTAAAAATGTGTACCAAATATTAAATGAATAAATCAAGATTTTAAAAATGAGATGACGACAACAGAGATGGGATATTATACCCAACATGTCTCCTCTTGACTTTGGGCCTAAGAGCTGGTAGGCCTCGTCAAGGAACATCTTATTCCTTGCACTCCGGATTTCCAGAGGTCCTGTGAAACCTAACTGTAAGGAAGTATACAGCAATCCGATTCCTGGTTATTATGTGCAGTAGGATACGTAGATCGTACAATTCATGTCCCAATGATTCCCTTATAAACTGGTGTTAGTATGTTTATATATTGTACTTGCGTTTTAAAATTTACCTCTTCTGACGGAGTGCATCCTCGAAAGGAATCGGAGTGTGGAGCCGGAGGGTAGGAATCGGAGTCTGGAGTCGGAGGGTAGGAATTTGAGTGTGGAGACGGAGGGTAGGAATTTGAATGTGGAGACGGAGGGTAGGAATTTGAGTGTGGAGACGGAGGGTAGGAATTTGAGTCTTGAGTCGGAGAGTAGGAATTTGAGTGTGGAGTTGAAGGGTAGGAATTTGAGTGTGGAGATGGAGGGTAGGAATTTGAGTGTGGAGTTGAAGGGTAGGAATTTGAGTGTGGAGACGGAGGGTAGGAATTTGAGTCTGGAGTCGGAGGGTAGGAATTTGAGTGTGGAGTAGTAGGGTAGGAATTTGAGTGTGGAGACGGAGGGTAGGAATTTGAGTGTGGAGACGGAGGGTAGGAATTTGAGTGTTGAGTCGGAGGGTAGGAGTTTGAGTGTGGAGTCGGAGGGTAGGAGTTTGAGTGTGGAGTTGAAGGGTAAGAATTTGAGTGTGGAGTTGAAGGGTAGGAATTTGAGTCTGGAGTCGGAGGGTAGGAATTTGAGTGTGGAGACGGAGGGTAGGAGTTTGAGTGTGGAGTTGAAGGGTAGGAATTTGAGTGTGGAGACGGAGGGTAGGAATTTGAGTGTGGAGTTGAAGGGTAGGAGTTTGAGTGTGGAGTTGAAGGGTAGGAATTGAGTGTGGAGTCGGAGGGTAGGAATTTGAGTGTGGAGTTGAAGGGTAGGAATTTGAGTGTGGAGACGGAGGGTAGGAATTTGAGTGTGGAGTTGAAGGGTAGGAGTTTGAGTGTGGAGTTGAAGGGTAGGAATTTGAGTGTGGAGTCGGAGTGTAGGAATTTGAGTGTGGAGCCGGAGGGTAGAAATTTGAGTGTGGAGTCGGAGGGTAGGAATTTGAGTGTGGAGTCGGAGGGTAGGAGTTTGATTGTGGAGTTGAAGGGTAGGAATTTGAGTGTGGAGACGGAGGGTAAGAATTTGAGTGGGGAGTCGGAGGGTAGGAATTTGAGTGTGGGGCCGGAGGGTAGGAATTTGAGTGTGAAGCCGGAGGGTAGGTATTTGAGTGTGGGGCCGGAGGGTAGGAATTTGAGTGTTGAGTCGGAGGGTAGGAATTTGAGTGTGGGGCCGGAGGGTAGGAATTTGAGTGTGAAGCCGGAGGGTAGGAGTTTGAGTGTGGAGTTGAAGGGTAGGAATTTGAGTGTGGAGACGGAGGGTAGGAATTTGAGTGTTGAGTCGGAGGGTAGGAATTTGAGTGTGGGGCAGGAGGGTAGGAATTTGAGTGTGAAGCCGGAGGGTAGGAGTTTGATTGTGGAGTCGGAGGGTAGGAATGGGAGTGTGGAGACGGAGGGTAGGAATTTGAGTGTGGAGACGGAGGGTAGGAATTTGAGTGTGGAGTCGGAGGGTAGGAATTTGAGTGTGGGGCCGGAGGGTAGGAATTTGAGTGTGGGGCCGGAGGGTAGGAATTTGAGTGTGGAGTCGGAGGGTAGGAATTTGAATGTGGAGTCGGAGGGTAGGAGTTTGAGTGTGGAGTTGAAGGGTAGGAATTTGAGTGTGGAGACGGAGGGTAGGAATTTGAGTGTTGAGTAGGAGGGTAGGAATTTGAGTGTGGAGTCGGAGGGTAGGAATTTGAATGTGGAGTCGGAGGGTAGGAGTTTGAGTGTGGAGTTGAAGGGTAGGAATTTGAGTGTGGAGACGGAGGGTAGGAATTTGAGTGTTGAGTAGGAGGGTAGGAATTTGAGTGTGGAGTCGGAGGGTAGGAATTTGAATGTGGAGTCGGAGGGTAGGAATCGGGGTCTGGAATCGGAGGAATGTGCTGAAGCCAGTGGAGCGGTAGAAGTGGATTCCTCATCCGAAGGAACACAGTCCTCGTCCCTGGGATCCGATAGTGTCTCCTCGAAAACGTCCATGGGACTATCCTCAAACATGAGATCACATCAACAAGATAAATTTACAATTAGTAACACCTATATTATGCCCGTCTTGCAAGATCTCTTGCTTTTAGGATCTTCAATTTTACATTGGTGGCTGTTGCTTTCCTTAGCAGGGCCGCAGACACATACCCATCTTAATCGCTCTGTCTGGCCTTGTTTATCAAGGAGGTTTTCATAGCAGAAGGAAGATGTTCTTCTTGATGAAGATATTGAATAAACACCTCCTGATGAGGATAAGTAATAAAAACGTCCTGCAGATCCCATGGTAATCACGGAACTTTGTCCCGAATCTTCGAAGTAAAAATACACATTCGTTGCCATAGCTCCAGCTATCATGTGAAAACAGTGAATTAATTTCTGAAAAAAAAATCATTAATTTTTTTAGGTCACCTGAGTAACTCAGGTGACCTATTGCTATCCGTTTTCGTCCGTCGTCGTGTGTCGTGCGTCGTGTGTTAACATTTAAACATTTTCAGCTTCTTCTCTGAAACCACTTAACCAATTTCAACCAAATTTGGTATACAGCATCTATGGGTGAAGGGGAACAACAATTGTGAATTTCATGATCCCTGCCCCCCTGGGGCCTGGGGGGTGGGGGCAAAAACCACTAAAATTATTGCAATCTTTAAAAATCTTCTTCTTTACTCCTGGACATCAAGCAGGCAAACTGTTGTTATGAATGTAATGAGCATTGAGTCCTCTACTTAAATTGTGAAATTCATGGCCCCAGGGTCAGGGGTTCTAGTGCTAGGGCGGGGCTACATAGATTATATAGTGAAAATGCATGATTTCTTTGAAAATCTTCTTCTCTGCTCCTAGGTTTTAAATAAACTAACCAAGCACATAGTTATGATGAGCAAGAGTGCCTCTTCCTAAATTGTGAAGTTTATGACCCCAGGGTCAGGGGTTCTGGTGTTAGGGCGGGGCTCTATTGGTTATATAGTGAAAATGCATTAATTCTTTGAAAATCTTCTTCTCTACTTCTGGGTATTAAATAAACTAACTAAGCACATAGTTATGATGAGCAAGAGTGCCTCTTTCAAAATTGTGAATTTTATGACCCCAGGGTCAGGGGTTCTAGTGCTAGGGCGGGGCTCTATTGGTTATATAGTGAAAATGCATTAATTCTTTGAAAATCTTCTTCTCTACTTCTGGGTATTAAATAAACTAACTAAGCACATAGTTATGATGAGTAAGAGTGCCTCTTTCAAAATTGTGAATTTTATGACCCCAGGGTCAGGGGTTCTGGTGTTAGGGCGGGGCTCTATTGGTTATATAGTGAAAATGCATTAATTCTTTGAAAATCTTCTTCTCTACTTCTGGGTATTAAATAAACTAACTAAGTACTTAGTTATGATGAGCAAGAGTGCCTCTTTCAAAATTGTGAATTTTGTGGCCCCAGGGTCAGGGGTTCTGGTGTTAGGGCAGGGCTCTATTGGTTATATAGTGAAAATGCATTTATTCTTTGAAATTCTTTCCTTTGCTCCTGTGTTTAATGCCAATGATCCAAATATATATATTTATGATGAAGAAAGGTGCACCTAGCAAAATGGTTATTTTTTATGCCCCCGCCCCTTCCCTGTGTCGGGGTGAGGGGGGCGGGTACAAAGTCTGAAAATAAATTAATGCTTTGAAATTTGCTCTTTGGTGTGTTAATCAACCATTTTATGATAAAGTTTGCAAAATTTTGAAATATGTGGCCCCAGGATCAGTTGTTCCTTTGGGATGAGGTGTACAACTGGTTATAAAGTGGAAGTGCATTTTCTCTTAATGTTACTCTGATCTACCTCTGGGTATTAAGTAAGTAGAGTTAGCATGCTAAGTCTAAATTATTATAAGCAATGGTACCTCTTTCAAAATTGTGAATTGTGAATTCTGGTTTAAAACATGAACCAAATTTAATTGTTTGAAAGTTGTTGCACAATACTCAGGTGACCTATAAGGCCCGTGGGCCTCTTGTTATAAATCATAAAAATAAATGGAAAATCAATTATAAATAAGTCTGCTAAGTCCCCTCTTCTCTGGTCATTGTTGAGGAGTAAAACAGAAATAAAATAATGTCTGGCTAATTTGTAGCTTTTTTGAGACACGATTGGTTTTTCCTGCAATAGAATTCCACGGGTTCCCTTCACTGACTTGAATTGAAGAATTCTCATATTGAGGAATGTGCTGAAGCCAGTGGAGCCGTAGGAACCCAGTCCTCGTCCCTGGGATCTAAAAGCATCTTTGGTGAAAGGGATTTAACTTATCTCAACAGTTTTTAAAGGTAAAGATATAAGACACTCAAAAATCACCTCTTTTCCAAGACTTGTGTATTAGGAACTGTTTCCCTCCTCTCTCAGATATGTGCACCTTAATGAGGTGTTTGTCCAACCAAGGAATCATACTTGGGAACAGGACAACGTTTCAATTTACATTTAAAAGATTAGTTTACAATTAGTTACACCTATATTATGCCCGTCTTGTTATATCTCCTCTTGTTTTTATCAACTTAAAATCTTACATTAGTGGCTGTTGCTTTCCTTTGCATGGTCGTAGACACCTGCCCACTCCAAACGCTCTGTCTGTCTTCTTTTTAAGCATAAGTAATATAAACCTATAATATAGGTTATCCATAATATTCATAATACCATGGTTCTGGAAGGTCGTGTCTGCCTCTATTATTCTCCGGAAGACCCTGTCCGAATTAAGTCCACGCTTGATGATTATAGTTGTCCGGACCTCCCCAGTCCGTGTGATGGAACATTGTTGATCTTATAGAAGGCCTTCTTTAAGAACCTCTTTCGGAAACGCAGATATTGTTTCTTTAAATATGTGTACCAAATATTAAATGAATTAATCAAGATTTTTAAAAAGGGATGACGACAACAGAGATTGGATATTATACCAAACATGTCTCCTCTTGACTTTGGGCCAAAGAGCTGGTAGGTCTCGTCAAGGAACATCTTGTCCGTTGCACTCCGGATTTCCTTCCAGTGAAACCCGACTGTAATGAAATATACAGCAATCCGAGTTCTAGGTTATTATGTGCAGTAGGATACATAGATCGTACAATTCATGTCCCAATGATTCCCTTATAAACTGGTGTTAGTATGTTTATATATTGTTCTGTTTGAAAGTGTACCTCCTCTGAGGGAGTGCAACCTCGAAAGGAATCGGAGGCTGGAGCCAGAGGAGAGGGACTAGAGGAATGTGCTGAAGCCGGTAAAGCCGTAGAAGTGGATTCCTTATCCGAAGGAACCCAGTCCTCGTCCCTGGGATCAGATGGTGTCTCCTCGAAAACGTTCATGGGACTATCCTCAAACGGGAGTTTACTCCTCTCATCCTCTTCCTAATTTATAATGGTAGAGTGAGATCAAGTAGGAAACATTGAATTGTATTTACTTATAATGATTTTTCTGTTAGTTTGTTTTTATCATTTGATGTATATTACCCATTCCCGGTCTAGGAGGAGTCTCTATTAATTTACTGACAACAACGTTCTCCTTTTTAGCTCACCTGAGCCGAAGGCTCAAGTGAGCTTTCCTAATCACATTTTGTCTGGTGTCTGTCTGTCTGTAAACTTTTCACATTTTTAACTTCTTCTCAAGAACCGCTGGGCCAATTTCAACCAAACTTGCCACAAAGCATGCTTGGGGAAATGTGAATTTAAATTGTTAAAATTAAGGGCCAAATCCCTTCACAAGGGGAGATAATTAAGAAAAGACAAAAATAGGGTGGGGTCATTAAAAAATCTTCTTCTCAAGAACCACTGGGCCAGAAAAGCTGAAACGTATGTAGAAGCATCCTGGGGTAGTGTAGATTCTAAATTGTTCAAATCATGACCCCAGGGGATTGGGCGGGGCCACAATGGGGAATCAAAGTTTTACATAGAAATATATAGGAAAAATCTTTTAAAAACTTATTCTCAAGAACCACTGGGCCAGAAAAGCTGAAACTTATGTGGAAGCAACCTGGGGTAGTGTAGATTCTAAATTGTTCAAATCATGACCCCAGGGGATTGGGCGGGGCCACAATGGGGAATCAAAGTTTTACATAGAAATATATAGGAAAAATCTTTTAAAAACTTCTTCTCAAGAACCACTGGGCCAGAAAAGCTGAAACTTATGTGGAAGCAACCTAGGGTAGTGTAGATTCTAAATTGTTCAAATCATGACCCCAGGGAATTGGGCGGGGCCACAATGGGGAATCAAATTTTCACATAGAAATATATAGGAAAAATCTTCTCAAGAACCTCTGGGCCAGAAAATCTGAAACTTATGTTGAAGCATCTTCAGGTAGTGTAGATTCTAAATTGTTCAAATCATAATCCCCGGGGGTTGGGCGGGGCCCCAATGGGGAATCAAAGTTTTACATAGAAATATATAGGAAAAATCTTTAAAGAACCACTGGGCCAGAAAAGCTGAAACTTATGTGGAAGCATCCTGGGATAGTGTGGTTTCAAATTGTCTTATTTATGATCAGTGGGGTAGGGTGGGGTCACAATATGTATTACAAGGGAGAAATCTAGTAAAGAACAGAATGGTCAAAGCTTCTCAGGTGAGCGATGTGCCCCATGGGCCTCTTGTTTATTGATGAGAATCTTTGAGAACTACATTGAGAACTATTCTCATAGTAATATTATAAAAGTATATTTTCAAGTAAACATTTATATATTATCTTTTAAAAAGGTTATACTTTTTAGAAGGGCTTCACTGTCACTAATATGGAGTTTTCCTCTTCTCTCCCACAGGAGAACTATTCTCATAGTAATATTATAAAAGTATATTTTCAAGTAAACATTTATATATTATCTTTTTAAGAGGTTATACTTTTTTTAGAAGGGCTTCACTGTTACTAATATGGAGTTTTCCTCTTCTCTCCCACATGAGAACTATTCTCATAGTAATATTATAGAAGTATATTTTCAAGTAAACATTTATATATTCTTTTAAAAAGGTTATACTTTTTAGAAGGGCTTCACTGTCACTAATATGGAGTTTTCCGCTTCTCTCCCACATGAGAACTATTCTCATAGTAATATTATTATATTTTTTAGAAGGGCTTCACTGTTACTAATATGGAGTTTTCCTCTTCTCTCTCCCACATGAGAACTATTCTCATAGTAATATTATAGAAGTATTTTTGAGTAAACATTTATATATTATCTTTTAAAAAGGTTATACTTTATTTAGAAGGGCTTCACTGTCACTAATATGGAGTTTTCCTCTTCTCTCCCACAGGAGAACTATTCTCATAGTAATATTATAAAAGTATATTTTCAAGTAAACATTTATATATTATCTTTTAAAAATATTATACAATTTTTAGAATGGCTTCACTGTCACTAAAATGGGGTTTTCCTCTTCTCTCCCACATGAGAACTATTCTCATAGTAATATTATAGAAGTACATTTTCAAGTAAACATTTATATATTATCTTTTAAAAAGGTTATACTTTTTTTTTAGAAGGGCTTCACTATCACTAATATGGAGTTTTCCTCTCTCTCCCACATGAGAACTATTCTCATAGTAATATTATAAAAGTATATTTTCAAGTAAACATTTATATATTATCTTTTAAAAAGGTTATACTTTATTTAGAAGGGCCTCACTCTCACTAATATGGAGTATTCCTCTTCTCTCCCACATGAGAACTATTCTCATAGTAATATTATAAAAGTATATTTTCAAGTAAACATTTATATATTATCTTTTAAAAAGGTTATACTTTTTTAGAAGGGCTTCACTGTCACTAATATGGAGTTTTCCTCTTCTCTCCCACAGGAGAACTATTCTCATAGTAATATTATAAAAGTATATTTTCAAGTAAACATTTATATATTATCTTTTAAAAAGATTATACTTTTTTTAGAAGGGCTTCACTGTCACTAATATGAAATTTTCCTTTTCTCTCCCACATGAGAACTATTCTCATAGTAATATTATAAAAGTATATTTTCAAGTAAACATTTATATATTATCTTTTAAAAAGGTTATACTTTTTTTAGAAGGGCTTCACCGTTACTAATATGGAGTTTTCCTCTTCTCTCCCACATGAGAACTATTCTCATAGTAATATTATAGAAGTATATTTTCAAGTAAACATTTACATATTATCTTTTAAAAAGGTTATACTTTTTTAGAAGGGCTTCACTGTCACTAATATGGAGTTTTCCTCTTCTCTCCCACATGAGAACTATTCTCATAGTAATATTATTATATTTTTTAGAAGGGCTTCACTGTTACTAATATGGAGTTTTCCTCTTCTCTCCCACATGAGAACTATTCTCATAGTAATATTATAGAAGTATATTTTCAAGTAAACATTTATATATTATCTTTTAAAAAGGTTATACTTTTTTTAGAAGGGCTTCACTGTCACTAATATGGAGTTTTCCTCATCTCTCCCACATGAGAACTATTCTCATAGTAATATTATTATATTTTTTAGAAGGGCTTCACTGTTACTAATATGGAGTTTTCCTCTTCTCTCCCACATGAGAACTATTCTCATAGTAATATTATAAAAGTATATTTTCAAGTAAACATTTATATATTATCTTTTAAAAAGGTTATACTTTATTTAGAAGGGCTTCACTTTCACTAATATGGGGTTTTCCTCTTCTCTCCCACATGAGAACTATTCTCATAGTAATATTATAAAAGTATATTTTCAAGTAAACATTTATATATTATCTTTTAAAAAGGTTATACTTTTTTTAGAAGGGCTTCACTATCACTAATATGGAGTTTTCCTCTTCTCTCCCACATGAGAACTATTCTCATAGTAATATTATAAAAGTATATTTTCAAGTAAACATTTATATATTATCTTTTAAAAAGGTTATACTTTATTTAGAAGGGCCTCAATGTCACTAATATTGAGTATTCCTCTCTCTCTCCCACATGAGATCTATTCTCATAGTAATATTATAAAAGTATATTTTCAAGTAAACATTTATATATTATCTTTTAAAAAGGTTATACTTTTTTAGAAGGGCTTCACTGTCACTAATATGGAGTTTTCCTCTTCTCTCCCACAGGAGAACTA